AAATTCTTTAAATTTATTAGAATAACATTATTTTCAGAGAAAACTCTAAAAAATATTATGGACTAACCGTATTTTCTCTATAAATTAATAAATATTAATTTATCGATTAATTAATAACTTTATAAATTAATAAATTTTTAAGGTCTCAACATTATTAATTTATAGAGGTTTTACTGTATAGAGGAAAAGATCTATTCTAATGTTTTGCTATTCTTTTCCTATTTTGAAAAATAACTAGATAAGGTTAGTTGAATATTTTCTTTACTAATTAAGAAACAACTAGAAATTAGAAAATTGATCATTTTTTCTCTCCCTAAAATATTGTTTTTCTAAAATTTGTTCTATCTATAGATTTACAAAACCGTGTGCAAATAAAAGCTTTCGTCCTATATAAACATCCACTGAATTCATCATCTTGTAAGAAAATAAGATTTAACAATCAAAAGAAAAGAAAAGTTAAGAATGGGAGGTAAATATCTTTCTTTGCTAGTGCTAGTTGTCTTGGTGGATGATTGGTAGGACTGTAGCTGTAAATTATTTTCTGTAGAATTTGGTTTGTAGAAATATTTTTTGTACCTGTATCTTCTGTAGCTGTAAATAATAAATGAAAAAATAATAAATAAGGAAATAGATTCCTACAACCATATTTTTTTTTTCTACAGCCTAAAAAAGAAAGCTTTAGTAAATAGGGTTCCTACAGGAAAAAAAATAGCTGTAAGGGCTGTAGCTTTAAAAATCAAAATAAAGCATGATTGGTAATTTAAGTGTATGTGATGTGAGTATTTTAAGGAAAGATAAAGTTTGATTGGTTTCAATTTAGTGCTGTAGAAAAAAAATTGTCTGTAGAAGTAACTTACAACCCAACCAATCACCCACTTGGCCTCTAATGAAGCTATTGCCAAGAACAACTTTTCAACACCTAAACTGAAACGAAGTGATTTTCCAAAAGATTTTATTTTTGGGTCTGCAACATCAGCTTACCAGGTCGAAGGAGCTGCGAAACAAGATGGTAGAGGACCAAGTATTTGGGATACCTTCTCTGAAAAATATCCAGAGAAGATAAAAGATGGTAGCAATGGATCTGTCGCAGATGACTCTTACCATCTTTACAAGGAGGACGTGGCTTTATTGCATAAGATAGGTTTCAATGCTTACCGATTCTCAATCTCCTGGTCAAGAATCTTGCCTCGTGGCAATCTAAAAGGAGGAATCAATCAGGCTGGTATTGACTATTACAACAACTTGATCAATGAGCTTTTGTCCAAAGGAATCAAGCCTATTGCCACAATTTTCCACTGGGATACACCACAAGCCCTTGAAGATGCTTATGGTGGATTCCGTGGCGCAGAGATTGTGAAGGATTTCCGCGACTATGCGGATATTTGCTTTAAGAATTTTGGAGACAGAGTGAAGCATTGGATGACATTGAACGAGCCATTAACAGTGGTGCAACAAGGGTATGTTGCAGGTGTAATGGCTCCAGGAAGATGCTCCAAATTCACTAACCCTAATTGCACAGCCGGAGATGGAGCCACTGAGCCTTATATCGTAGGTCACAACCTCATCCTTGCTCACGGAGCCGCTGTCCAGGTCTACAGACAAAAATACAAGGTCAGTGTTAAGAATTTCCCTTTTTTTGGGCAGCAAGTTACCGTAATTGACAGTATTTAATGACTATAAAAGCCAAAAAAAGGATCTTAGTATGTTTATTTCCAGTTCCGATTATTAAATCCTGCTCTTGAATGTTTGTAAAAAGGCCTCTCAAAAAGGGCAAGTTGGTATTGCTTTGAATGCCGGTTGGAACTTGCCCTATACAGAATCTGCCAAGGATAAGTTAGCAGCAGCACGAGCCATGGCCTTCACATTTGACTATTTCATGGAGCCACTGGTTACCGGTAAATACCCAGTTGACATGGTCAACAACGTAAAAGGCGGTCGCTTGCCAACTTTCACTCCAAAACAATCTAAAATGCTTAAGGGCTCATATGACTTCATTGGCATCAATTACTACTCCTCTTCTTACGCAAAGGATGTCCCTTGCTCCACTGAAAACGTTACGATGTTCTCTGATCCTTGTGCAAGCGTCACAGGTGAAAGAGAAGGAGTTCCCATCGGTCCAAAGGCTGCATCGGATTGGCTTTTGATATATCCAAAGGGTATTCGTGATCTTGTTCTCTATGCAAAATACAAGTTCAAGGACCCTGTCATGTACATAACCGAGAACGGGAGAGATGAAGCTAGTACCGGTAAAGTCTTCCTTAAAGACGGCGATAGGATCGATTACTACGCTCGACATCTCGAGATGGTTAAAGACGCTATCTCTATTGGAGCCAATGTGAAGGGATTTTTCGCTTGGTCGTTGCTAGACAACTTTGAATGGGCAACGGGATACACGGTTCGGTTTGGGCTGGTTTACGTGGACTTCAAGTCTTCAACGATGGATGTAAGAGATACCCGAAGAAATCAGCTCAGTGGTTTAGGAAGTTGTTGAAAGGAAAGAAAAGCACGTGATGAGAATCATGAGATTATGCATTATTCCATTTATCAATGTCTTCGTTACTCTGAGGGATTACTATTTTTTTTTCTCCCTTGGAAATAAAAAAAAACAATGGGTTTCTGTACAACAAACCCGAATACCCGATTAATATCAATATAATTCAGATGAATTCTTGTCATAAGAGTCTGCAAAAACAAAAATTAAATGATTGGCAGCATTATAAATGTTAGCAAAATGCAGAATCGTAAATACATGTCAACATGACTCCACTACATGTAAACGACTATCGTAGTAGGGAAACACCTACACACTCAACATGACTGTGAGTTATCTAAAAATAAGTGTCACACAAAATATAAATGTGGCTATGATGTTGCACCATCTAGTACTAACAAATAAACTAAAAAAAAAAAAAAAACTCAAGCATGGAGCTAAGAGATGCCATCAAAAATTTCAAAGTCCAAGAAAATATCTCAAACCAGTCTCTCTGCGGTTCTTTAAGTTCATAATATCGTATTGAGAGAAAAAAATGGTCGCTGGTAACTGAAAATTGATACCGGAATTCCGGTAGTTCTGCCGCTGTTTATTTCGGCGACTCAAAATTTATCTCCACCTAAACATTAAAGTGATTGCTGCGATAAATTTCAGGAATTTTTTCTGCAATTAAGCCTTGTATTTCAGTCGCGCCGCTTGTCGCTGCGTTTGGATGCCGAACATGGCCTATATAAGTTACATGTAACAGGAGCAAGAGTTATAAATTTTCACCAAAACGAAGGCCAATAATTGTTAGATAAATACTACAGTGAGTGCACTAGTTGCGAGAAAAAATATCTTCAAGAAAAAACACATGGCGAGATATATACCAAAAATTCTTCAGTGTCAAAATCATAGAATTTCCATCTTTTCTTCCGAAAGAGATATCCCATAAACACACAATTGCTGTTAAAGAGGAGAAGAAGAGAAGATAAACAGAGATGTTATGTATCAAAAATATGAACTTTTATTGAATCTGGAATTTGTTATTGACAACACAAAGATCTTTTAGATGATCATAGCTAGCTTGATTTCTTAACAAAGAGAACTTCGTATGGGGTGAGACCATTGAGAATTTTTGTCGGTGTAATATTGATAACATGAGCGAGCTGTAGTCAGAATAGCCTCTCCCCAAAATTTGGTTGGTTAGCCCGCTTGAAAAAGAAGTGATCGAACGACGTTTAAGATATGTTTATGTTTGCCTCTATCATTCTGTTGTGGTGTTCGTACACAAGAGGTTTGATTAGGAATGCCTTGTTGTTGGAAAAGCGATCTCAAGCAAATGAACTCTGTGTCATTGTCGCTTTGTACCACATTAACATATTCAATCCAAATTGATTTTATTTTTTTTTGGTATATGAACATATTATATTTTAAAACTTGACGCACTTCAACATATTATATTATATGTTCGAAGGTGAGCAAGTTAAATAAAAACACAAGTACATTCATGTCTGATGCCTTTGTAGTTACGCATTTTCTTACTTTTGAGTAGTTTCAACTTCCAGATGTTGTTATGTGCATGCCTGAGTACTATGAGTAGCAAGTTACTGCTAAAAGACGTATTAAATCTTGGGTATTTTTCTTTGCCATTCATGTAGACTATGGAATCATTCACAGTAGTGCAGTATACTTACTATTTACTCGAGCAAAAATGAACACCATAAATAATTTAGTACTTTTCAGATCATGGAGCTGTGTAAACTTGTTATTTGGTTAGATTTCTCTTCTCTTTTCTATCAGGTTAGATTTCTCTTCTCTTTTCAGATCATGGAGCTGTGTAAAATTCATTTTTACAATAATGTAAAATAACTTATTTTTTTTTTTAATTTTATGAAATAAATAAAATCTATGTAAATTTTGTTCCATAATATCTTATTATTACTTATAAATTATTTTTAATTATTAAAATTGACCATATTTATATTAAAAATACGATTTATAAAAATATTATTAATTTTTTTTTAATAAATTTTAAACACAAAAAAAAAATCATTAAAACGTTTAAAAAAAATAATGCAGTGTATTGAAAACCAAAAACTAAAGAAATTACCATTCAAGTTTAAAAAAAAAAATCGACTGCAAAGTCAAAAATCAAAATTTAAAAACACCTAAAACCCAAACAAAAAGCTAAAAAAAAAAATATACACAAACAATCAAGACCTAGAACTAATTCTTAAATAAACCATGATCCCAACAAAACCTAACATTAATAAAACTGATAATTTGTAGAGCTATTATCCTAATAAAATCTTAATTGTAGAACTGATTTACAGTGTTGCTCGAATTTGAGGAATTGTTTTAAAAAAATTGAAATTTATACACGTCAATTAATTCTGTGGTGCACAGATGTAAAAATGACCGTTATAGTTTAAATGTATCGGGTAAAGATGGGCCTAAGTTAATTACTTAATGCGCTTTTTATCCTTCCCTTTAAATCAATTGATCAAAGCGATTAATTGGAGAAAGAAAGTTGTTTCTCGCTGTCCTCCTCTTCGATCAAAGTGATTAATTAGGGGTTGTGTTTTCGTTTTGATTTGTTATGCAATTGCTTCATTTTTTTGGGCAATTGATTCAATCAACTCGCTATCAATTGTTTGCTTCCCACTCTCTCTCTGCCTCTGCTCTTCTCGCTATCAATTTTTAGGGTTTGAGATTTTGTTATACGAATGCTTCATCTTTTGGTGCAATTGTTTTAATCTGTGGAGGCGGACAACGACATCACGGTTTCTGTAAGTTCCGAAGAAAACCTCCTCTTGTATTCGTTTTCTTCGAATCTTAATTCTGTTTCTAGGTTTTCTCACAAGATAGGGATGATGAGTATGAGAAACCATCTATGATCTTTGGAAAAGAATTGATTCTTTCCTGTCTCTTCTCTTTGCAGTATTTATGTCACCAAGTAAGATCGATACAAAATCACAAACGATCTAAAACCTCCAAAAGGTGAGTTTTTTAGACAAGATTTTGTTTTGGGATTTTCTTAAAGTTTTTGTCTTTTGTCTGATGAATTTAGATAAGATGGTTCTCAGATTATGGTTAGTCCTTCTTTAGTCTCCTGGATTTTGGCAAGCATGAGACTTAATTTTGTTTTGTTTGATCCTGTTTGTGGGTTTAGTCTCCTCGTTTGTTTGATCCTGTTTCGGTTATATTTGTCCAATTCCATTTTTAGACGATAATCAATTATGAGTCAGTCTTGTTACAGGAGGCGAGCACATTAAGAGGAAAGTTGCTAGTTCTCAATCGCTGGTAAGCCTCACCTACTAAACTGTAGCTTTTTGGTGAATCGATGATTTAACAGGCTTGCATTGCATGTTCTCCTCGGTTAATTTTTTAGATATAAATTTTTTAGATGTGTATGGTTCTGTTCATTGTTCTAATTGGGTATTGAATTGATTTATCAAGATCGTTCTTTTATCAGAGTTTACACTTGTATGGTTGTTGCATGCATCAAGCTCGTTGTGAAAAAGGGAGAGATCCATATGATTCCCCTGAATTTGGTGTAGATGGTTTCTATTTTTCATTCAGAATTTATACCAGTCCCTCATTTCGGTTCTATTTACGAAATTTAATATATTGATTTAGGCACCTTTTCTGAGCGGAGCTGGTGAAAATGATGTCAAGAGACTCAAGACGCTGTATTCTAATGTTTTGAAGGCATCTGGAAAGGAAGTGTCTTCACAAAACAATGAGGTAATTTGATTCCTCGAGATATGAACGTCAAATTCTAGAAATGGAACTTTTATTAAATTCCGTTCTCGTTTATACCAAATGTTGAAATGGCCCGATTAGTTCTGTTTAAGTTTCAATGCAATGTTCCCTGTGGTGGTTAATGATGAGTATTGATTTGGCTTTCTTTAACCCATCGTTTCACATTATGCATATTCAGGTTTTAAAGTGGCTGGAATATAGAGTTAGCCGTGTTTGCAGCTTTGCATTCTGTGGTACGACTGTTACTGAATTATGCTTCCTTCCTGAGTACTTTTATCTTCTAGAGAAGAACTTTTTTTATTTCTTTCTCATAAACTGTTGTGTAACAGCGGTGAACTTTGAAGTCTAACTGTTATCTGTTGACTTGCTGTTCTCAGCTTAGCCTCTCAGATTCAGCCAAGGAGAAGATCCCACATGTCATAAGATGGATGAACTACATCCAGGTAGGATCAACATGTCGAGACTTAATTTTAATCCAACATGTCGAGGTTCCTTAATTCTCCTCTCTAAAATTTCCCTGGAAATGATCTTGTCTGGAGCTATAAACAAATGCCTCATCCTATGATCGAGGTAATTTCAATTACCTCTTTGAACTACCCCTTGGTGCCTGAATGCAAATTAGCTTGTCCCAGTTCTATGAATAACTCGGTTTCCTAGTCACCGAGCTATACTAATGACTCGTCCACTGTTTGATATAATGGAGACGAGGTAATCTTAATTACCTCTCTGAAATGTCCCTGATGCTAAGATATAGATGAGCTTGTCCCACGGTTGCTTAATCACGGAGCTATAAACAAATGCCTCGAAATGAGGTAATCTTAATTACCTCTCTGAAATGTCCCTATTGCTAAGATATAAATGAGCTTGTCCCACGGTTGCCTAATCACGGAGCTATAAACAAATGCCTCGAAATGAGGTAATCTCAATTACCTCTCTGAAATGTCCCTGATTCCAGAACAGAAATGAGCTTGTCCCACGGTTGCCTAGTCACAGAGCTATAAACAAATGCCTCGTCCTATGATCAAGGTAATTTCAATTACCTCTCTGAACTGTCCCTTGGTGCCTGAATGCAAATTAGCTTATCCCGGTTCTATGAATAACTCGGTTTCCTAGTCACCGAGCATTACTAATGACTCGTCCACTGTCTGATATACTGGAGACGAGGTAATATTAATTACCTCTCTGAAATGTCCCTGATGAAAGATATAGATGAGCTTGTCCCACGGTTGCCTAATCACGGAGCTATAAACAAATGCCTCGAAATGAGGTAATATCAATTACCTCTCTGAAATGTCCCTGGTTCCAGAACAGAATTGAGCTTGTCCCACGGTTGCCTAGTCACAGAGCTATAAACAAATGCCTCGGAATGAGGTAATCTCAATTACCTCTCTGAAATGTCCCTGTTCCAGAACAGAAATGAGCTTGTCCCACGGTTTCCTAGTCACATAGCTATAAACAAATGCCTTGGAATGAGGTAATTGAGTGAAATGTATCTGATTCCAGAAAAGAAATGAGCTTGTCCCACGGTTGCCTAGCCACAAAGCTATAAACAAATGCCTCGCAATGAGGTAATCTCAATTACCTGTCTAAAATGTCCCTGATTCCAGAACAGAAATGAGCTTATCCCACGGTTGCCTAGTCACAGAGCTATAACAAATGCCTTGGAATGAGGTAATCTCAATTACCTCTCTGAAATGTCCTGGATGCTAGAACAGAAATGAGCTTGTCCCGCCTCTTTACTACGCTTAGATCGAGAATGTCCCTGATACTATTACTGAAATGAGCTTGTCCCTGATGCCAGAACTCAAATGAGTTTGTCCCGCCTCTTTACTACAGTTTCCTAGTCACTGTAGATAGAGAACGTCCCTGATGCGATTGCAGAAATGAGTCCCGGAAAAACAATCATCCTAGAATCAAGGTAATCTAAATTACCTTTCTGAATCGTCCCTGATGCCTGAACACAAAAGAGCCTCTCCCTTTTGAATAACTTGGTTTCCCAGCCTCGGAGCTAATCAAATGCCTCGAAACAAGGTAATTAAAATTACCTCTCTGAAGTGTGACAAGTGCCCCTAATGACAGAACACAAATGAGCTTGTCCTACGGTTTTGTAGTCACTGTCTAATCAAGGTAATCTTAATTACCTTTGAAATTTCCCTGTCCCTGTCCCTAATACCAGAACGTAAATGATCTTGTCTTAAGGTTTCCTAGTCACCGAGCAAGAAACAAAAATTCCTCACAAATGCCTCGTCCAAGCATCAAGGTAATTTTAATTACCTCTTTGTAATGTACCGTCTCTTTGGGCTACTTAGGTTCCAGGTCACCTGAGATAAACACATAAATGCCACTAGAATTGTTTAAGCCCAGTCACTTAAGCTAAATGAAAAGATAGAAAACATCCCTGATGCTTAAGAATCCTAATCACTCAAGCTAAATGAAATGCCAAAAGAAAGTCCTTGATGCTAGAATGCAAATGAGCTTGTCCCACCTCGTGAAATTACTCAGGTTTCTATTCACTTGAGTTAAACACAAATGCCTCAGGAATTGTTTGAGATTCTAGTCACTCAAGCTAAATGAAACAACAAACGATTAAAAAGATGCAAATGATAAGGTTGTCTCACCTCTTTGGACTACTTGGGTTTCTAGTCACCCTAGTTAAACACAAATGCCTCGTCCACTGCTTGCTAAACTGAAAACAAGGTAATTTTAATTACCTTTCTGAAATATTCCTGATGACAGAACACAAACGAGCTATAAGCAAGTGCATTGTCCTATGAATGAGGTAATTTTATTTACCTCTCTGAAACATTTTAATGGCAGAACTTAAACGAGCTTGTCCCGTGGTTTCCTATCAACGAGCTTGTCCCGTGGTTTCCTATCAACGAGCTATATACAAATGCCTCGTCCTCAAAACAAGGTAATCTTATTTACCTCGTTGAAATGGCCTTGATGCCAGAATTTACATGATTCTCTATTTGGAATTGCATGAGATTCAAGTCACTCAAGCCAAATGGTAAGGTTTTCTCACCTCTTTGGACTCCTCGTGTTTCTAGTTAATCTCTTGGAATTACTCGGTTCTAAGTGTATGGATATAAGAAATGAGGTACTTACGACATTTATACAGCATGCGTGGCCTCAAGCTTAAATACCACTTTCATGAATCTCTCAAAGTTCATTCTTCCTCATCTAATTCAGGTTTGTGAATTTACAATTCGCTTTAGATATGATGTTTTATTTCGTGATAAAGTCAAGAAGTACATCCGTCTCTAAATCTTAATTTGTTTATGTCGTCTTTTTATCTTTGCAGGTGCAATGGAGAAGTTTTAAACAAGCATAAAGATGTTCTCCTCCGGCTTTCAAATATCAAAGATCAGTACAAGAGTTTCAGGTTATTTTCTTACCATTTCTTTAAAAGATAAATATATTGGTTTTGCTTTTAGTTTCTCTAGTTCTAAAAAGAACAATTTATAGAAGTTTGATAACCGTGCTGTTTGAGTCAATGATAAATAATGCTGAATATCCTTAAAACTGTACTTCGTTCATTTCAGTTAATGTTAATTGTTAAACATTGTGGATTTCTTTAGTTTTCGTTTTCTGAACCTATTTTGGCTTTAAGATATTGTTTTTACTTTCTTGTGTATAGTCTCTATGTTAAATTTATCTTTTGCCTTTTTTGTATTATTCTTAGTTGTATAATCTGCTCTCGTAAAAATATTTGAGTGAATTCATGTGAAAGCTATTACATCTATCCTATTAAAACAGGAAACAAAATAGAAATAAACCTTTCTTTTGTAAGTTATTACATGAAATGCCATTGGAATTTAACATTTCATTAAGGGTAATTTAGATTAAACATATATGTAGACTATAATAGGTTTTATACACTTGATCACATATGATTATGTAGAAATCAATTACCATAATTAAAAATATATTAATTAGATATGTATTCAAACAATTTAAAATAATGGATCCCACTTTTTTATTAATTAAAAACGAAAATAATAATAATAACAACAATATATATTAAATAAAATGATAAATATAATTAAATAACATAATAAATCAATTATTCTTATAAACTATAAATCAAATTTTGGTTAATATATACAGAAAGTAACATAAAAATATATTTGGTCAATATATACACAAAGTAGCATAAAAAATATATTTTTGTATTTTTAATTTGATATATATATATTATTCACATAGTGAGACATATTTATGTTTTTATAATTACTGGGTTTTATAGTTTATTTTATTAAAATATGTAAAATATTTAGACAATTAAAAAACAGATTAAAAAGACTGATTAACTCATTTTAATTATAAAAATATTAAAAATAATTAAAATGTGATAAGTTTTATAGGCGGCTTATCATATTTGAACTTTCTTAAATATACATAAAAATATAAATTTAATTATAAAAATATTAGAAAATAAAAATAAAAAGTAATAGAATAGACTATATAATTTCATGATATACTTAAAAATGAAAGTATTACATCTCAAATTATAACTTCTAAAAAAAATATAATTTTAATAAGTATAAAAATAAAAATCAATTAAAAATTTCATTCTCTCTCATACCATATTCATACTATCAAATATATCTATACAATAATAAAATTGTTAACATATCTTAAATTTTTAAATTTACAAATACACATTATTTCAAAAAAGAACTACATATTAAAAAAATATCATCTAGACAGGATATAATCTATTATATAATTAACGAATGTAGAAATAACATTAAACATACTGGTTATGTATGTCCAGTATTATTGAGTTTTAATCATGTATCGTTACAACTCGCTGTCTTTTGGATTTAATGAAATACCGATAAGAAAAAAATTAAACATATCCCGCGCTCTGAGCGCGGGTTCAGATCTAGTGTAATTTTTAAAGTTCTTACATACTTACAGGAGATGTGTTTTGCTTTTAATGTAATGATGTGTGTAAGGAAGGTTAAATCAAATGCTTGTCTTGCATACGATTTCAATATGATTTCTCTTAGTTTTTTAGTTTTACTATCTCTTGGCGTTATTCTAGTTATTTCTCTTATTTGGTTAGCCATACTTGGACGTCGTTATTTTTGTTTCCTTTAATCATTTTCTGTCTCTTTTGTCTCTGTTTTATATGTTTCTGCACATATCAGTGATAAATTTGATTGCTAAATTTGACTCTTAATTAGTGTAGTTTTTTATTTTTCAGTTAATGCTTTCATTATTACATTGTTTCTTATTAGTGATGAGTTTTACAGGATTCCTCAAATATGTTTCATGTTAGTTTTTTAGTTTTATTTTTTCTTGATGCTATTCTTGTTATTAGAGACTCAGCCAGACTAAATCATAGATTTGTGTTGCATGGATCTTCATATAAATATTTTCTTTTAACTTATTTTGTGTCTTATATCTCTGTTTCATAAGTTTTATGTTAGTTTTTTTTTAGTTTTATTGTTTATTGGTGCTATTTTAGCCATGGTCTGACTTTGGTTATTTGGGATTCAGCCTTACTTAGATGTTATTTTTCATGTTGCAAGTATCATCATACAACGTTTTTGCTTACAACTTGTTTCTATATTCTTTTTTTTTTTTTTTGGTCTCTGTTTCATATTTTTATTCTCATATCAATTTTAAATTTGATTGGCAAGTTTAATGTTTCTGTCCTTACTATACTAACAGTTTATGTTTGTCAAATGTCATGGAGGCATGAATTGGTTAGAGTAGAAGTATTAGTTAGTGTCTTTAGGTGACTCGAGCTTATTTGAAATTCAGCCATAACTTGTAGATTTTTTCATTTCTTTCATATGTTTGCACTCATATAATTTGGAGTTTATTGTTAATTCAATGCTCCTTTACTTGCTATACTAATAGCTCTGTTTTAGCTTTTGTGTGTTCAAGTTTCATGGAAGTCTTGAATTGGTTAATGTAATACATTTGCACTCGTATAATTTGGAGTTTATTGTTAAGTTCAATTCTCCTTTACTTTCTATATTAATAGCTCTGTTTTAGCTTTTGTGTGTTCAAGTTTCATCGAAGTCTACATTTGATTATTTATCAAAAAGTATCCATATAACTTGTTAATTTTAAAATTGAAGCTGAGTTCACTGAGCTTGATTAGAAAATTATCCTATCACATGTGTGAGTATTGGGATTTTTATGCAAGTCTAGGAGACTACGTAACAGTTAAATTTGGCTATAGTGTATTTGTTCGTGCTTGAAATTTGTATAATCTGGTTTGGTTATATCAGTGTTTTCATTTTTGAGGAGTTAGGTCTTTAATAAATGATTGTGATGGTGAGTTCTTTTAGTCGTGTTCTTTTAGTCGTATTGCTTCATATATGACTCTTAGGGAAGCTTTTATGTGTGCAGTAGTTCCTTATGGATTTAGAGTGCAATACCCTCATTGTAATTCCGGAATCCTGACTGATTCTGCACTCCTTGTTGCAGATAGACATGATCCTGAGGGTTCTCAATATTGTTGCTTCTGTAAGACAAATTCGGGTGGCTCCTGAAGTTGTTGAAGTTGCGGTTCTGCACATACCCTAGTCCATTCACAAAGTTGTCCCTTACCTGATCATCATTCTTAGAGATGCGGTTTTGGACTTAGTGTAGAAATGGTATAAAAACGCTGATCTACATTCTGCCCAAGTTGTCAATGACCCAGCTGGCAATGACTTCAACCAGCGCGAAACTCTGTCCGCAAGTGAGAATGGAAAGAGCTTTCACTTCAGAAAATCACTTGGTATCCCATTTGACCGAGTCGTGCTGCAAATCTCCTCAAAATTATTGATGGGTCCATCAGAATTTCAGCAGAAAGTCCTTGGAAAAGATGCTGCTTCACCAATGAGAGCAACTGAGGTTTGATCTCAAATTCTTGCCTCTGAATCGCTGGAGGAGCAATTGCAGCTCTGTTTTGGTAAAAAGCATGCAGATTGTCCTTATCTCCAACGGCAGGCTGTTGCTGCTCCCTGTCTTGCTGCGCTTTTTGCAGTTGCTCCAATTGCTGTCGAAGCTATTGCACCTCGACAGCCATGTCATCATTGTTACATTGATCGCCTATGTTGGCTGAATTAGGCCTTCGACGTCTGTTTTCTTGCTCTACTCTTGCAAGCTCGGTGTTTGACAAGGTAATAAGATCCTCGGTGCATTTTTTTCTTGTGGACCTGTTTGTCATGCACCTGAAACACACACAGACAAGATAAAAAGAGAGCAAGTTAGTAAGGTCTTAGTCTGAATTTCAAACCAAGAATCAAAGGTAACGAATTGGTCCCTGTCGCAAGGACGCCAAAAATTGATTCACTGGGATTTATCTCCTAGTTTCTACTGCAATAGAACAGTTTGTAATTGTAATATAAAGGATTCGGATTCCAGAGGACCAGCGTTGCACTATGACTCTACGAGGGTTGAAACAAAGCTAAAACGAAAATGATTATTGGGGGTTGTAACATAACATACGAGAAAATGAAATAAACGATTTAGAATTCAATGAAACAAAACACTAGACTAAAGCAATTCGCATAACTTTCAGAGATAACAATCAAATGACTATTCAGGGCACGGTTTAAATGCAAGTCTCGAACTCAAACATAAATGCATATCGACCCACTGTCGTGGCACTGATAACTTTGTCTAACAATCTAAATTCTAAACTGTTGTTTGAACCTAAAAAATTGCAGACAAGCATTAACAAGCAGGTTTGATCTGTTCACAATTCGCCTTAACATCAACTGTTGTTGGTTAAGGACAAATCGCTCACCAAAGTTTATTCTAGCAACCTATACACTTTTGATGAATAAATTAACCTAAATCGCAGATTGAGTGATCAGTTCAACCTAAGCATTAAGGACAACTATGGTGAAGACAATCTAATTAAGCCCTATTTGCATTCAATTTAGAGATCTACTCAGACATGGAGAAAAGAGACACAGCAAAAGATAAAAAGGAATTCATGAATAAAAAATAAGAGATGACAAAGGTTCAGAATTCTTCTCAAGTGTAGCATGAATTCTTCTCCCAAATTTTACAAGTAAAAACTCTCCAAAGTCTAGAAAATTGTAAAAAAAAGCGTAAGTAGTCTGTGTAAAAACATGATTCTCTTTTTGAGGCGGCTCTGGTCTTTTATTCTCTTCCTACGTCCCAGGATTACGTAAAAATTGTTTTTCTTATTTTTCTCCAGGCGGTTGGAGCAGGTGCTCCACAAAAGGACTTATTCGGGAGCACCTGCTCCTGACGAAGAATGGTCCAACTTCATGTAAATTGGCATCTTTTGCTCAGGTTCAACTCCTTTTTGCACCAAAAGCTCCAGCTGCTCCAATCCTCGCCTAAAGCTCCCTAGATACCTGAATCAACCTGAAAAAGACTCCAAAGATTCCAAAAACGATCAGTAAACACATGTTAGAATGAGTCAAAATCTCCACTTATCCAACAATTGACTCTTTCTCGGCCCATTAATAGACTTTATTGGTACAGATGGGCTTAGGAAGCTTAGTCTCCCTATTGACTGTGGTGTATGTGCAGCAGCAAAATATAATCACGGATGGAAGCTTCCTTCTACCAGAACCAGGAACTTGGCAATAAACACTCTTAGAGACTCTCTCCTAGTCACACTACCTCCCCATACTTCAAGAGCACATGATAAATACTCTCGGGGTGTGGAGAGTTTTCGGTTGACTTGCTTCTCTAATAAGAAAGCCTGGGATTTTTTTGAGACCCTCGGCCCAACCAGTAATGTGGTTCAAAGCAGTGTGGTCAAATACACAGTTCCGAGTCATGCTTTCAACTTCTGGATGGCTCAAAGGGATAAACTACCCACTCGCTCTCGCCTTGTATCCGGAGCATCCCCAACATGTGTTTTTTTTTTCCCCAACATGTGTTTTCTCTGTAACTCCAACTTGGAAACCAGAGACCATCAGCTCCTTCATTGTATCTTCTCTGACCAGGTATGGCGGCTTCTTCTCTCCCGGTTGAGCTTCCCAAATCTCCACTTTGTAGACTGGCAGATCCTTATTGGCTGGATGATTGCTCACTCTCAAAGTACCTCAAGAACTCTTAAGTGTATTGCTGCCCAGGCAACGATTTATTTTCTGTGGAAGAAAAGATTATAAGGTTCCATACCAGCTCTTCTCTCTCTGCTGAAGTGGTTTTCAGACAGATAGACCGTTCGATATGTGATACTCTCCTTGCTCGTCTCTCCCGGAAGCGATGCCAAGGCCTTTTATCTTTATGGTTTACCCATGCGGCCATGATAATGCTGATTCAACTGCATATGGTGTAATACCAGTTTCCGGGCATTTTTCTCCTAGGTTTTCTTTCAGACCATCATCAGCTATAGTTTTTTTTAGGAGTTTAGCTCGGTATTTTTTTTTTTTAAACGTTAGGCTTATATTGTCTCTTTTGAGTTTCTAGAGTTTTGATATGTATAGTATTGGCTCTATGCTCATGCTCATATATAGTTTCACATCCTGCCTTTATAGTTTTTTGGGGGTCCTGAAGCTATCTATTTCAAAGCGTTGTAATTAAACTGATGTTCCTTTTTTGTACTATATTCACATTTTATTCCCAAAAAAAAAAAATTATTGGCACGTGCTAAAATTTACCTCTTTTGTCACATGGTTCACCATCACATGTGATTAATCACAAACTTTTTTATAAAAGTTAAAAATCTTAATTTTTCAGTTTCTCAAATGTATAGAAATTTCTTCAAATCACCCAAAAACTTGTAACAATATTTTTGGAAAAATTGCTCAAACCTCAAATACCTTTCAAAAAGTTAAATACACAAGAAATCAAATCTCATGTTTTTAGATAAAGTTTCATATAATTTTAATCTCAAAATCTTAGGTGTTTGATGCTCTGTTTGTTAAGTTTTTTGCTTTCCTTGTACTGGCATCTCATTCTCTTTTTATTTATTTAATGGAAATCTCAAATGTTATAAAAAATAATAATAAGAAGTTATCTAGTTCCCTCTAAAATAATTTTAGTGGAGTGTATTCAATCTAATATTTGAGAAGATTTCGAATGGTTGAAGTTTTGAATGCTGCTAGGGTTGATGTCGCAGGAAAATTTTTAAGTTTGTAAACTTTAGTATTTACAAGTGCACAGCAGTGCAATGCAGTACTAAGGTGTCTATCCACAGGGAGAGTTTTTTTTCTGCAAAAACTTGAAACTGGGTTAGTAATCGATTTCAAAGACCAAAAGGGATTTTTGTGGGGGTTTTTGTGTCACGATTTCTACTAAGCTAAGCAAGAAATAAAACTAAAAGCAAATAGATAAAAAAAATAGATAAATCGCTGGGTATTAGGGTTTCTCTCTAGGATTCATGATCTGTAACTTAAGGTATTTAGATAAGGATTTTCTATGACTCTGGAACTATAATAGACACTTGTGAGATTAGCCAACTCTCGTCACTCTAATCATCTAATCACTCTAACTCGAAAAGTAGCTTTTGTCTCTTGTCGCGAGAGAGATCATGCAATATTGATTGGAATTCATCTCGGCTCACGCCCCCTCCGTAGATAACTTTCATCTCCTACGACGATTACGTCCATAAGATCAAGTTCAGGAAATCTGATACATCACTCTCGTGGCTCTGATTAAACCTTAGATCAGATGTTAGGTCGTGACCCCTGCATACATCATTAAGTATGGGATGAATGGGAGAGTCATCTAAAAACGAATTAATCTAAGAAACCTAGATGTTTTCGATCATGGGGTCCCTTTCGATGGTCCCTTTACCCAACAAGATAACTACCCCGACATAGCTCAGCTTAACATCATCATTGGTTTTGAAATAGAAAAGCAGTAAATTAAAAGAGATAGCATAACTGAATAGATAGATGAAAAAAAAGAACAATGGTTCAAGAGAAGAATCTCTATTTTCCTAATGTAAACCTAAGAAAAAAAGTTTGGTTGCTCCTAAACTAGGACACTGGAGCACATACGAAATTAGGTCTTATAAAATATATATTTATAGGTCTTCAAGTCTATTTGGTTGTCCTTAGGGCTTTCTGTGAAGAGAGAATGAGTTGGGCTTGAAAATCGGCCTTAGAGCCGATAATGGGCTTGCCGCGGATGAAAGCTCTCCGGGAATGCTAAATGATGGTTCCACCGCAGGTGGAGGCGTGACCAAGAGCTTGTTTACCGCGGTCACGACCTCCTTGAACCATGGTGGTTGGCCTATGAGGTCAAAACTTCAATCCTTCTCTTGCTTCTTTCGCGAGACTGCATAACATGTCTTAAGTAAATTGGAGATATCTAATTATCTAACCGTTGGATTGCATCCACAAAAAAAAAACCCCACAAAAATCCCCTATATCCCCTTTGGCCGGTTGTCTCCTATATCTTTTTTACAAATTTGAGCTTGATCAGACGGTAAGAAGGTCTTCATTGGGTGTGAAACTTCTGACGGACATAAATTGGCCAAAAGTGGATTTTTCTCAAATTTGCATTGTTTTTGTCTAAATAACCTGAAAATAGTCTTGAAACTAAAAATAGGAAAAAAAAAGAAAAAAAAAACACTTAAAACTAATTAAAACCTTTGAAATAGCATAAGAAAACACTAATGAAAATGGGTATAAAATACGGTGTCATTCTTATAAAATTCTATCAAATCTCACCTAAAACCATGAGATTTAAAAGACTTTTTGAAAATCATGTTTGAATAACATAGGATTTCAAGTTTAATATAAATCATTCCAAATATTAAACTCACTAACAACTCAAAACCTTCCAAATCTTTCCAATTATTAAATTTAGAATACACCAGATATTGAATTAAAAGAAAAAAATATGTACCAGTTTTCTTAATTAAAAACTTGCTTGGGGTTAGGCTTTCAAGACTTTTAAGTATCTAACAGTTTTCAAAGTCTTTTTTTTCCCATACTTTTTTATTTTTTTTATAAATATAAAGTCTCAAAAACCACACTTTTAATTTTTTGTCATGGGTTTTAAAAGTTACGTATGAGAAATTTTAACAAAAAAAATATAAATACATTTTTTTCTATCTTTCTTCTTCCTCATATATTATTAAAAATTCTTTGTAGATCTATATATAGTTAATTCTTAAGAAAATTTAATTGATTAATTGTTAACAACATTCTGTTTTTTTTTTTAGATCCATTTCTTAAAACTTTTTTGACTAAAATGTTTTCAGAAATATCTAAAACTCTTTGTTAAATCCAGCCTTTGAAAAGAAAAAATTACCTGCAATTTTTAAAGTAATAGTCAGTTTCTA